TTTCTAACATTATTATTATATCCCCCCCATACTATACATTTCAAAGCAACATTCAGCTATAAAATTATATAATAAATCCTAATTTGGCATTTATTCAACTCATAATCTACCCATTTCCTCCACCCCCATACATATATCTCTTAATTCAAATCTTTTACGTATATTAATATCTGAACATAACATCCCTTTTCCTAAACTAAACAATCAGTAACCTAACCTATCTCCACCCATTTTCCTACAGGTCTACCATACATAATATTTTTAATATCTTTGTTCTTCTGCCCACACCACACCACTAAAAGATATTTCCATATATAAATAAAATCCTCAAATGACTTTAAATTTGTAATCCATATAGTATCTTCTGTAATGTCTTTCAACTGGATTATTAATTCCATCACCCATGTTAGGGTAACATCAAGTTCTGCTTCCAACAGTATATTCAGTATCTTCAATTACCATCTGCCCCCATCAATAATAAGTGTTTTCGTATATAAAAAACCACCCGAGTGACTTTATATTTATATTCCATGTAGTATCTTCTGTAGTGTCTTTTATCTAGATTATTAATTCCAACCACCACGTTAGGCTACCAATCATTCTTATGGCAAAGCAGATTTGCAAATGATAGAAGCAGTGGTGGGTTGCTACCAGTTTGCCCTGGTAATAATCTTCAAAAATTATTTCATGCTTTATTTATTTCTTTTTCATCATTCATTATTCCTACATAATTGACCTGGTTACCAATCATTTCTATTGAAGAGCAGACCTGTGCAATGAAATGCATCATTGATTCAAAGCTTGATGTCACTTAACAAAGAACCAGATGCATCTCTTCACACCATATTAGTAAAGTATCTTGAAATTCTTATATGAAAACCCTAGACTGGCATCCAAGGCCATACAGATTCTGTGGTTAACCTCTTGTTTTATTAAGGATTTTGCATTTGCTCCATAATATAAGAAAAACTCATTCCGAATTTAAAAATTGGTGGCTATCTTCTTCCTATCCATTCACCTGCCAAATAAGACAGCATCCAAACAAGAGGGCGACAGCAGCAGATTAATGATACAGGCCAAATTACTGTGAATTCTGCTGTTCCGAGGTCTAGATCTCATCTTCTCACAAAGTCTGGATATGCTTTTCTGTTAAATCTAATCTATTCTGTGCCTCCTCAGTTCCAGGATGTAGTCATTGTCCATCTGTGATACCTGCACATGCAGATACTTGGAGAATACTAAGCAAGATTCAATCTGTAAAATCTTCCAGTCTGTAATAATTTCAACTAGAAAGAATGCAGATTCCTTTTTGAGATTTCACTCAATGGGATTTGCCGTACTGCATTCTAGTGAGAACTGAGGGCCAAGCTAATCTATATTTCAAGGACCCAGCGTAAGGAGGATTCAGCTGTTAATTTCAGCAGAACTAGATATGTCTTCAATCTTAATTTCCCATAGCCAAATGCAGGGGTGGGTTCTAAACTTTTTTACTACTGGTATTGTGGGTGTGGCTTATTTTGTGGGCGCAGTTTGATGGTCATGTGACAAACGATTATTTAGGATTTAGCAGAGGTACTGGTCTACCAGGCTTTTAAACTGCTTGCAGAGCCGTACCGGTCTACCCATTTGTTTTTGGAGTGCACTGGTCTACCACCACACTGCCTTTTACCACTGATCAGCTGTAGGGCAGCCCTTTGAAGTGCCATAGCAAGAGTTTAAACAGTTTTTTGCCACTCTGCCACCACCGAGAGTATCGGAAACCGCTTTCAGGCAGCTTGGCCTCAATTGCCAATCTACCACCACCGAGCGGTTTACAAAGAGTGGATCGGTTCTAGCCGATCAGTTGGGAGGCTTCTTGGCTTCTCAATTTAAAACTAAGGTGTCTTGTTTTTTTCTTCTCTTCTTTGACAAGTGAGCCCTGATTTTTTCCTTCTAGCCAATCAGCTGGGACTCAGGAGGCAGCGAATAGATTGGGGGCAGGGCCAGGCAGAGGTGATATTTAACGGTTCTCTAAACTACTCAAAATTTCCACTACCGGTTCACAAGAACCGGGGAGAACCGGTAACAATCCACCACTGGCCAAATGTAGCCTCATTTTATTCCCAAAGACCTCCAAATCTGTGTCACAATAACTCAGGACCATTGGTGGCTCTTGCTGGGGATTTTGGAAGCTATTTATCTGAATAAAAACTTTTTATGTATTTATGTGTTTGTTTGTTTGTTTGTTTGTTTGTTTGTCAAGCATATATAAGATAACAGATATAAGTATAAACATGATTATGAATACAGGAAATGGATACGAATAAATGGGGACAGTAGGACAGGGATAGTAGGCACTTTGGTGTGCTTATGCATGCTCCTTACAGACCTCTTAGGATTGAGGTGAGGTCAACAGTAGACAGTCTAATGTTAAAGTTATGGGGGTTTGGGATGAAACCACAGAGTCAGGTAATGCATTCCAGGCATTGACCACTCTGTTGCTGAAGTCGTATTTTCTGCAATCGAGTTTGGAGTGGTTTACCTTAAGTTTGTATCTATTGTTTGTATCTATCTATTGTGTGCTTGTGTATTATTGTGGTTGAAGCTTAAGTAATCATTAATAGGTAGGACATTGTAGCAGATAATTTTGTGCACTACGCTTATGTCAGACTGAAGGCGGCATAGTTCTAAGTTGCCTAAGCCCAAAATTTCAAGCCTGGTGGTATAAGCAGGAGAGAAATGCTTCCTGTTCAGTCCGATTCACCCAAACTGGTAGTAAAAAAGGCTACTGGTTAACATTTTTTACTACCGGTTCTTCAGAACCGGTAGTTAAAAATGCTTTAAAAAGTAAAAAAAAAAAAAGTTCCAAAGATCGCGCATCACTCAGCTGATCCTTGGAACTTTTTTTTTTTACTATTTAGGCATTTTTTTACTACCAGTTCTCCGGAACAGGTAGTAAAAATGCTTTTAAAAGGTAAAAAAAAAGCTCCGACGATCACAGCTGTGGCGCGCAATCGTCAGAGCCTTTTTTTTTTACTTTTACTCGGCCAAATAGGTTGTAAAAAATGTGGAGCAGGGTTGAAATGTACTTACCTTTTCTACTGGCTTGCAGATGTGCATGCTTCTGCAGATGCGCAGATGGTCAAAACTGGGACATGACGATGTCCTGGTTTGGGGGGGCGGAGCCTCCCACCGGCGGAGGTACCAGTTCTCTGAACTATCTGCCGCCGGTACTACAGGCTCCCACAAGCTGGATAGAGCCGGCAGCATTTCGTCCCTAGAGTGGAGGACTCTTCTCGTGAAATATTTCTGAACTCGCTCAATTGTATTAATGTCTGATATGCAGTGCGGATTCCAGACAGATAAGCTGTATTTGAGAATTGGTCTAGCAATATGCCCTAGTCTGAAGTACAATATTATCAGAGAAGAAGGTTCACAAGATTAGATTAACAACTCTTAATGCTTTTTTGGCAATGCTGTTACAGTGAGCTCTGGCACTTAGATCATTAAAGATGAGTACTCCAAGGTCCTTGACAGAGTGAGGGTCATCTACGAGCTCATATCCACCCAGCTTGTATTTGGTGTTCTGATTTTTTTTGCCAATGTGTAAGGCACAACATTTGTTGGTTGAGATTTGGAGTTGCCAATTGTTTGACCAGTCAAGGTCTCTTTGTAGGGCAGCAGCATTGTTGGTGGTGTTGAATAGTTTTATATCATCAGCGAAGAGAATGCAGTTGCTTACAATATGATCGCAAAGATCATTTATGTAAAGTATAAAGATTGTGGGTCAGAGGTGGTATTCAGCAGGTTCTGACCAGTTCTGGAGAACTGGTAGTGGAAATTTTGAGTAGTTCGGAGAACCAGTAAATACCACCTCTGACTGGCCCCGCCCCATCTATTCTCTGCCTCCCGAGTCCCAGCTGATCAGGAGGAAATGGGGATTTTGCAGTAACCTTCCCCTGGAGTGGGGAGGGAATGGAGATTTTACAGTACCCTTCCCTGCCACGCCCACTAAGTCACGCCCACCAAGCCATGCCCATAGAACTGGTAGTAAAAAATTTTGAATCCCACCACTGGTGTGGATCCTAAAATGCTGCCTTGGGGACACCACTGTTAATAGGTGCAGGGTCAGATCTGAAATATGCCAATCCTGTTAGATATTATTAGATAGACAGATAAAATTGGAGATCAGGCATCCTGTGACCACGTAGGGTTTTTGCAGATAAAAACCAGTACCTTGAATTCCCCCAGAAACCAAGTGGCAATTAACTAACCCCATTCCTGCCTCTGCTGCCCACTTCCGGACCAGATCTGGCTCCTGGATAGCCTTCCGGGACAGCCTGTGTAGAGTTCACTGTAGTGACCCATACCGTGAATAATTTACAAAACCCGGTTGCAGAATTCAGCAATTTCAGATCATGATAGAGAAAAAAATATATCTCTCACCATGGCTACAAGCCAAACAAATTAAATTAAATTTTAAATTAAAAGAATTCAAGATCATGTTTCAGAAAGTTTTTAATAAAGCATCCTGTTAAGAGTGACTAGAAGTTGCTAGAAGGTATGAATTCATTGTGCATCCATGTCAGATTATAAGAGCAGAAAATACAAAACTAGAGCCTCATCCTCACCTTTCTCCCTCCCGCCACCAGGCTCCTCCTTTTTCACATACGTCACATGCAAAACACATAAAAAATGATGGGGCTTCAATCATGCAATTGGAACCATCACTTGTTCATTTTTGGCACGTCATTCCCTTTGACCCAGGATCTCTCAGGGAGCTAAAAATGCTTTTCTCACTCTTTTTAAAAAATTGGTTTAGCTTCTTACGAAATTAAAAATGAGAGTTAAAAATATTTTTTCTTCTACTTTGCCCTCAATACTCTCTTCTGGTTACTCCATTATTGCTTCAACTTTGGGAATGACTATTGCTACATACTTTGTTATCAATCTCTCCTGAGTTTCCACTTTCACAAGCTGTGACTATAAAATCCAGTAGCCGCACTGGAGAAGTCAGACATCCTCCTCTGAGAAGCTGCAGCAATGAAGGCCCTATCGCTCACTTTCCTCTTCCTCCTTATTGCAGCCAATGAAGCCAAAGTATTTACCAAATGTGAACTGGCTTCACGTCTGAAAAAGGCAGGCATGGATGGATATTACGGCTACAAATTGGGCAACTGTGAGTTTACTCTTTCTATCTCTCTATTTTAGCCTGGTTCAGGTTTTCAAGAGGAATGGGTCCTTGGATCCTTCCTTGGTTGAGGGAAGAATGATTGAAGATGGTTAAATATTCTGTGTAAGAAACCAGGATAACTTTTAATTTATAACAATAACGTTTTATACTCCTTTCCTTGTTTGCTTTCTTCCAGGGATCTGTATGGCCTATCATGAGAGCAGATACAACACCCAAGCTGTGGGGCCACCAAACACGGATGGCAGTCGCGACTATGGGATTTTCCAGATAAACAGCCGCTGGTGGTGCAATAATAACCAGGGCCCTACAGCTAATGGCTGTCATAAGCCTTGCAGTGGTAAGACACCTAGTGTAGGGAAAAAATTATCTTGATGAAGGAATATAAGAGTTGTTAGGAGAACTGTTAGGGTTTTAGTCCTTCTTCTCCTTTATTGCTCTTTGTACTTGTTCAATTTTGTCCAGTGCTTCATGAAGTTTGGCATTAAATCATTCTGTCTCTCAAAGTAGTTTCAAGTTCCTGCTTGGGTTACCTGTGATGGTATCTAGCCACCATATTTTCTGTTGGCCTCTTAGCCTTTCTCAATCTGCTCCTCCACTTTGTACTCCATTTCCTAAATTCTCACAAATCTTTTAACTTCCTTTTCACAGCCATATCTCACTTTGTGCCTCCAAACACCACCCACCACAACATTAGTCAAGGTCTTGCCCAGAGGCACAAGTTAAAGGCAGCCGTAGAACTCCAACTAGCAAGGAACCTGATCCAGTGCTCTCTGCCCTTTGTCAGAGAAATCTGGTTCTTGGACTTTGGTGAGACAATTCTTTTCTCACTCCTATCCAAGAGTGCAGAAAGACTGTTGGGAAATCTGCATATTCAGCTCCAGAGGAAAAACAGATTCCCAGTGTTCTACACTTCTCAGACTTGTTACTCTACACACTTAGAGGATGAGAAATGTCATTTCATGTTCTACACCAGCTGTATAAAAAGTAGGTTACACTGTTAAAGAAGTGAATGCATTACATAAAAACTATTGAGGTCCTACAACTAAAGTCCCACTTGGGTAAGAATCTGCCTTAAATAGTAATATTATGCAAGTCTTTGAAAAAAAAAATTTTTTTGAAACATCTGGGTTGGGACATATTTTAATTTGCTTTTCTTGGCAGCTTTCACAACTGATGACATCACAGATGATATTATTTGTGCTAAGAGAATTGTGCGTGATCCCCAAAGGATGGATGCCTGGTAAGTCAATCTTTCATTAACATCTTCCACTTGTAACGTTGGGTAGCAATTGAATTGTCTTGAAAGTTAATTATCTTTCTTTACATTATTGTACAACTTTTAATCTTGATGGTAAAATACAATTTCTGAACATGGAAAGTAGATTTACATAATCAAACAAACCACTCCTGCATGTGGTTTGGAAAGACATGAAATATTCTTCTTCTTACTTCTAGGGTTGCCTGGAGGAACCACTGCAAAGGAAGAGATCTGTCACAATGGACTCGTGGCTGCCGGCTCTGAGATGGATGATCCTGCATTTCTCTTCTGCATTTCCCTTCCTCCTCCTGTCATGAAAATGATACTACTTCTTATACCGTATAACCAATCTTTCACAATTCGATGCGATGTGTGTACCCCAGAAGCTGGGAAGAACAAGTTTCTTTGCATACAAATGATGATTTTAAATCTCTTTTAAACTCTTCAAATATTGCTTGAAAATGTTCAATAAAATGAATATTCTGCATTTTGCCATTTTCATTTCATCCTTCATTATTGTCACCTAACTGAAGTGGCTATTAATCTTTCCTATGGCAGGGGAGAACTGTGTAACCAAATACATCACTGGTTCAAAACTTGGCATCACGTAATAGAGATCCTGATACATCTCTTCATACAATATTAGTAAACTATCTTGAAACTGTTACATGAAAATTCTAATCCACCAATCCACACCACACCCACCAAACCACGCCCACAGAACTGGTAGTAAAAAAAATTGGATTTCACCACTGGTCTTGTTGCATGGGGGATGGGATGGCTGATGGGACAGAGAAGCTTCTCATGCCCAGGTGCCCATCAAGTTGGTTTTTAATTTTTAATTTTATACTTATTGATTTTGCATTTTTAACTTTTATTATATTGTAAGCTACTCAGAGATGTTGCATTGGTCAGATGAGAGGCATAGAAATCCACTAAAGAATAATAAATAATATCTTTCGCCAACTGGTTGGAAAACTCTGGGAGTTGAAGTCCACACATCTTCAAGCTCCCAAGGTTGAGAAACATTGATACACTGAAATGATCCACTGTGGCTTTCTTCTAACTGTTTATCCATTAATCCTAAAAGGGAAGGTTCTGGCTCCCATAGACTATTGATCTATAAAATCATCTGTATCGGCCAGGGGTGGTTCTACTTACCTTTACCACCAGTTCACAACAGTGTTTCTGCGCATGCGTAGATTGCTGATGATGACATCTGGGGCGGTGGGCGGGGTCTCCCGCCGGTTTTACTACTGTTTCTTGCGAACCGGTCTGAACCAGGGACAACCCACCACTGGGATCGATGTATATCTTTGAAATCAAATATTTTTAATTTTTTTACATGACCACCAAGCATGATAAAATGTCCCCTTGTGGTGTTCATATTTCCAATATGCATTTGAAGAGACTTTATTTTTCCAGCCTAATGCTGGAAATAACGCTGGCTCTGCCCATGCGCAGAAGTGAACCGGTAGCAACGGGTTTTGAAACACACACACACACACACACACACACATCCCAGATAGAAGGCCAGACAAATTCTATGGTCAATCTCCAGTTAAGTTAAGGCTTGGCTTTTGTTCTATTGTATAAAAAAAAAACTGATCTCCAAATTTAAAATTTGGTGGCCATTTAAGTCCCATCAGTTTACCTGCCAAATACTAGAGCATCCAAATAAGACAGCAACATCAGCAGATTAATGTCGCAGATCAAACTATTGTGATTTTTGCTGTTCTAAAGTAGTGTGACCAGACGTCCCGCTTTTGGCGGGATAGTCCCGATTTTTAACAATTTGTCCCGCGTCCAGCAGCGTTTTTAAAAAGTCCCGATTTTTGGAAAGAATGCACGACAAGCTAGGGAACGGCGGGAGAACGGGAAGGGAATATACAGTTTTTGGCAGCCATGATTTTTGGAAAGAATGCATGACAAGCTAGGGAACGGCGGGAGAACAGGAAGGGAATATACCGTTTTCGGCGGCCATGATTTTTGGAAAGAATGCACGACAAGCTAGGGAACGGCGGGAGAACGGGAAGGGAATATACGGTTTTCGGCGGCCATGTGGCTATTTAGCCAGGATATACTATACATAATTTTTTTTTATTTATTATATTTGTAAATTGTACTTATGTTGAAATTTTAAAAAATATATTACAATACTATTTTTGCGTTCTATGAAAATTTTTGTTGCTCCATAAAGACCAAATTTTTAATCAAGAACACCCCCCCCCCGGTCAATGGTGTCCCACTTTACCAATGTTAAAATCTGGTCACCTTATTCTAAAGTCCTTTTCGCATCTCTTCTCAGATATGCTAGTCTGTTGAATCTAGTATATTCTGTGCATCCTCAGTTCCAGTATGTACAATAAATCATGGCCCAGCTGTGGTACCTGCATACATAGAAAGTTGAGAAGATTGCTGGAAACTCTGTTCAAGTAAACATACACACAAAACCCCAAGCAGCAGTTGGCAGAAAAAACTAATGGCAGCTCCTGGCTAACTTGAGTTAACATAAGATGGATTCGGTTTTTTAATTTCAGCAGGAACTAGATATGTCTTCAGTTGCAATTTCCCACAGCCATTTGCAGCCCCATTTTGTGGCACAAGGCCTCCAAGGCCGTGACTCAGAATTCAGGAGCACTGGGGGCTCTTGTCAGGGATTTTGAAATCAGAAAGGTCACCTGTAACTTCAGAGGTAGGAGACACCCATAAATTATGCATGTTACACATTTATGGTGAAAGATTAGAAGAAGTAGATGGATGTAGCTTGGTAGAATGGCTCATCCTCATAAGGATGAGAAAAAAGATATAGTTTACCTGATAGAAAGTTAGCGTGCAGCATGTAATCTGTTGAAAGGATCATACGTTTATTGAAATAAGCAGAAAGCTTTATATGTAAGAGGGTTTCTCTTCACTTTAATAGGTGGAACTGAGGGTTGGAGCCATGAAATGAATCCCAGTGCAGCAGGAATGCTATCCTGAAGTACTTCTGCTCACAATTTCATGGTGGGATAAGATTAAGAATGCATGAGTGATAGAAGGCATGTGGGTTGAATGCACCAGTGAGCGACCATTACAAAGAACATTGTAATGTACTTTGATTTGGGTGAGTGATTTGTTCATATAGAGGCAATGAGTGAGGATCAAATTCCAAAATAAATCTTTGAAAGAAGTATATTTACCCAGAGTGTTTACAAATACTAGCAATAGCATTATTATAGCAAATCCTACTGATTTGAGCTGACAGTGTTAGGACATTAGATCCAGATTGTACCTGGGACCACTAGACTAAACTGAGTCTCCATATGCAATACAAAGGGTTGCTTCTTGGAAAGCCACCTGATCCTATCTTCGCTGTAATTAATCAATATGTTGCCTGAGGCACAAGTTAAAGGCAGCAATTTCAGCTTCTGAACTGAAAAATCTTAAAGGAAACAGAAACAAAAGACCCCAGCTCCCTGCCCCCAGCAGATATTTTGGTGCCAGTTTATCTACAAGAAAAAAGAGTCTATCTACAAAACAAAAGACCTCAGCTCCAAAATGATGGGATTATCCTTCAGGGCAAAGCCATTCAGCCACAATAGGAAACTGCCCTTCATCACCCTGCAAAATTCAACTAAGCCTGGGACACAGACAACCTACAAAGTTAGCTAAGACCCCCACCCCCTGGGAGACTGACAGCCAATAGGATACATTTCTTGCACAGGAACAGGAAGCTCAAAGGCAAGGCCCAAGACAGGGTATAAATGTATATATATATAATGTGGTCAGCTACCAAGGACATCAAACCCATGTGGGACAGTTGCAGAAGAATTTGGCAGACGGCCTTTTAAACAGCAGGATTTTGATCCCACGCACAAGCTCTTCTGAAGCATTCTCAGATTTTGGCTAGGATTTTATGATTCTCTGGTGCTCACCGAATACTTTGGAATTTAATTTTCTTTAGGCATAGACTCCATCAAGGTTATGTGGGAGTCCAAATTATCTATTGGGCATCCGGGGCATCTACTTCTGATTTTATTGTCGGAAGTTAAAAGTCAGAACTATTTTAGCCATAACAACTATTTAAACCTGGGGAAAAGGGAGAACTGACTCTGCATCGATGAGAAGTGGTGCCATCACTCAACGTGGCCTAGGAGTGCCATATACTCCAGAGCCAGCACTGTTAAAAGGTTTCCATGAAAACTCATTTGCTTTGGGTCTACAGAGAAAGTGGATAAAGGGATCTTAGAAGACTGAATATGCTTTTCAGTCAGGTGGGAGAGGATCAGGCCTTGGCCTAGCACATAGCAGAATCTAAAACTGTCTATTCATTGGCTAGAAAGGTAACATCTTTTAGCGAGTTTCCAGTAAGTATGCCTGGCATTGACTTTTTTTTTTTTATTGAAAAAGTTTTCAAATACAAATTTTCCCCCCTTTTTTCTCCCCCCTCCTCCCTAACCCCCCCCCTCACCACCCATCCCCCCCCTGTGACTTCTTCACAACAAAAACCTAATTCATAACAGATTACATAATACATAATATTTTACCATCCCCTTACTCCCTCCTCTAAATACTGACCCTTACTTACGAAATATATTATTAATATTGTTACTTCCCCCTTTAACCATACATTTCAAAAAAAAACATTCTACTTTAACATTATATGATAACTTCTAATTTAGCATAATATTATTATAACTCCCAATTTAGCAATAATCTGCCCTTTTTCTCCTCCCCCAAACTTATATCTGTATATTATTACAACATTTCAAAACAACCTTCCACTTTAAAACTATATAATAAATCCTACTTTAACATTTAATCTTTTGTGTATATTAATATAACATTTCAAAGCAGCCTTCCCCATAAATCCTAATTTAACATTTATTCAACTCTATCCATTTCCTCCACTCCCCTAAATATATCACTTAAACATCCCTTTTCTTAAACTAATCAATCAGTAAACTAACCTATTTCCACCCACTTTCCTACAAAATTGCCATGCACAACAATTCTTAATATCTTTAATCCACTGCCCACTCTGCTAATATATATATATATATATATATATATTCCGTTATATATATATATTCCATTATATATATATATATATATATATATATATATATATATATATATATATATATATATATATATATATATATATATATATATAAAAAGACAATGACTTTAAATTTATAATCCATATAATATCTTCTTTGATGTCTTTCCACTGGATTATTGAGTCCATCATCCATAATAGGGTAACATAGCTTCCTGATGCAACAGTTTATTCAAAATCTTCAATCATCATCTGCCCCCATCAGTAGTAAATATCCTCATATATATATAGAAGTAAAAACAACCACCCGAGTGACATTATGATTATATTCCATATAGTTGTAATTGTGGCTTTCATCAGGATTATTAATTCCCATCATCCTAGTGGGTAACAACCAGATCTTCTGCATGCCCCAGCGTAGCTCTCTTGCCTTGTAGCTCAGG